GAATGATGTACAAATGCGCTTTACACAATTGATGTGTGTATGGATTGCGATAACAGTTGTATGAGCCCCTAATAAAATGTTTAAAAAAAAAAGAATCTGATTAAAAGAGTGGGATATGTCAGGGTAATTATGTTGTATCTATAATCTCTTTCCTAACCATCTTCAGAGAGCCCAGAGTTTAGAAACCATTTCTCTCATTTGATTGATGGGGAAACCAAGGCAACAGAGAAAATGGCTAGGCCAAGGTAAGAGGCTTAATCCATGTGTGGACCCTGCAAATGAATTTTGGGTTTCCACTGTCACCTACAGCCTTCTGCCAACTGCATGTTCACAAGTTCAGCTTTCATACCATTCCTTCCTTTGGATTTGGGTTTTATTAATGACAGCCCTTGGATCACACAGACTGGTGTGCTCCTTCAATGTGGACTTAGGGGACACCACCCTTAGATGGCTGCTTGTTTGAAAACAAGCCTTTAAGACCGCAGACATTATTTTTTCTGATAGCAAGGCACCACCTGGTTTGTTCACCATGTTTTACTATAGCACCCACGTGTTCAGGGATCTCTTTAAGAGGGCGAGCACTGAGCAGGGACAAATCTATGGCAGTCCCCAGCCACCATTCACTGGGTAACCTCAGAGCAAGAGATCTGAACCAAAGTCTAATGACCTCCAGTCCCATAACCTTGGGGTAGTAGTCAGCTGCTTCTTCTCACACTAGGTGGTTTAGCCTTAAATCTGTCAGGTCCTTAGATCTACTTAAGGTAAAGGCCAGTTAGTGGAGTATCCACATCGAATTCTTCTGGCGTGGCCTATGAAAGATGCTGTGCACCTTGAAAGGACAGCATCTAAAGTCCCAGTAGTCCACAGCCTAAGACCAGGGTTACCAAGGGATGGATAGAAACTAAGTCAAAAGTGTCCAATTAAGTAAGACCTTCTTAGGGAGGGGGAATCGGGGAGGGACATGGAAAAATGAGGAGCTGATATCAAGGGCTCAAGTAGAAAGAAAATCTTTTGAGAATGATGATGGCAACAAATGTGCTTGACACAAGGGATGTATGTATGGATTGTGATAAGAATTGTACGAGCCCCCCAAAAATGATTAAAAAAAAAAGTAAGAGCTTCTTTGACTACCCTCCTCCGAGTCATTTTTCTCTTTGAGGCACGAGCCAAACAGATGCTGTGGGTGTCATTAAGGCAGTGGACAAAAAGGCTGCTGGAGCTGGCAAGGTCACTCCAAGTCTGCCCAGGAGGCTCAGAAGGCTAAACGAGTATTACCCATAACACCTGCCGCCCCAGTCTTAATCAGCGGTGGAAGAACAGTCGCAGGTCTGTTTGTCTCAGTTGGCGATTTAAGTTTAATAGTAAAAGACTGGTCAACGATAACAATGCATCAACGTACAACCTTCAAAAGGAAAGGAATGTTTTGCGGACCATATGCTTCTTTTGTGTGGTAGTTTTAGGTTATTAGTTTTTAAAATCACTACTTTTTTAATGAAAAACAACCTAATCAAAAATTTGTCACTGGATTTCGAGATCCATTAAAACAAAGTTTAATGGGGGGGGGGGGGAAGTGTCCAATTAGGATCATAGTACCAGTCACATTCTATTGGGTTTTGTTGTTAAACATTTTTCTTGAATGTTGCCTTTTTTATTATTATTATTATTGCTTTTTTAATGACTGGCATGTTGTCTTTCTTGACCTTGTTGGTAGTTACACAGATTTTCACCTTATAGTTACTTGTTAAACTGTACATTTCAAGTACCTTTGTAGATCAGTGATAATTATGTAATAATAATAAATTTTCTAAAAACCTGGAACTGGTACTCCTGCCACGAGGTCCTTCTCTGACTTACCTTCCTTCTGTTTCCTCCACTGGAACTCCAGGACCACATCGTCGTGCCCCACAAAGGTATGCACTGGGGTGTTCAGGTCAAAGACATTCCAGAGGAGGAGGCTGTTTTCTCGGCGCAGCTGGGGCACCATCACTGTCACTAAGCCGTTGCTGAAAGGCTGGGGGTGAGAAGCGGAAAATCACAAGATTATCCCAGCTAGAACCTGCTGAGTCTTGAGTGACCAAAGTTGGAATGCATTCCTAACTAAAACAGAAGATGGAAGCTCCAACCTGTCTATGGAAAATTTTTTTTACCAAGACACCATCATGTTTACCCTCCTCTTTGCTTTTGGAAGGGACAAGAGCAAGTGAAAAATAATGATGAAGCCAAATGCTTGGAGAACTTTTTTCATCCTGGAAATATGCAAACAGCTCTGACCATAAGTATTAGAGCACACAGTTTCATATCCTAGCTGTTCTTCCCAGAACGTGCATGCAAACTTGCCCAAGAACAATCTCGTGGGGCAAACGCAGTTCTTAAGCCCTAAGAGGCACTAGAAACATGCCACCTTGCGGATGCCCCATGTACTACAACTTTCTCACTTCAGGTCTGACGTGCTTGACTTATCAACACGCTCCCTGCCGGGTAACTAAGGGCCCACTTGGTTTATAATTAGATCAGTTCCTTAAGAATAAATCACAGTCACTTAAGAGCACATTAGCTTCACCACCCTACCTGGCAGCACTCCTGAACGTTCCTGTTTCTTTTTTAAAGCAAACATGTTAATCCAGAGAAGCATTTCAATTCCTAAGAACAGAATCAGCTGTTGATGTTTTTTTTTTTTCAGAATCAGATTTCTTGGCAAGTGCTCCCAGTTGCAGAAATAACATAATGCCCAATTACCTAGAATGCTCCATAACACCCCAATTGACAACCTCGTGGATAAAGGTAACTTTATTCATGCCTGGGCTCACTTTCACATTGACATTGAAAGAAACATATCTGTAGTCAGATCAGCAGCTAGCTGTGTGGCAATGGAAACACTGCTGAATGGTTGATAACAGTTTACCCCTATTATGCGTAGCATTTATGGCTTCTAAAAGCCTTTTCATATACATGATTTCAAAAGGAAGACATTGTGAATGGATTAAATGCCACTGAGTCACACATGAGAGGCAAAAATCGTGATGCTTGAGAAACGATGTACAAATGCGCTTTACACAATTGATGTGTGTATGGATTGGGATAACAGTTGTATGAGCCCCTAATAAAATGTTAAAAAA